GCGCTTAGTCCCATTGCTTTGGCTAACCTTAGGGTTGCGTTCCCCACGTGCACACGTAGACAAGAAGTAGAAATGCACGAGAGTGACGAGACCCATAAATGGTATGAGGCTCGGTCGTTAGCGCACCGGTGCTGCATTGTGGTATGAGGTTGCGGGGTTGAACCGTTGTTGAACATTCCCCTGTGCGCACGCGGCCGGACGAAATCAACCGACATGGGGCGGGATTTGGTCAGGGTAAAAGTGGGCTCGGTTCGAAAGAAATCGGGAAGGGAGGTCAGGGTACACCACTCTCCTAGAAGGCGTGGTGGGGCACCCCTTGTGGCAACAGACGATAGTGGTGCATGGTTAGCCTCCTGCAGGTTGGCCTAGGGGCTTGAGTTGGTGTGGTGGACCCCGCTGCCGGCGACTGAATAGCGCCGACCCTGATTGAGACTTTCCCGTGGGTGGTCAAGGTTGAGCCCTGCGCTTGAGAGATACTTGTGTAAGTGTGCAAGTCCACCCGAAAGTCACGACATGGTTGTGTGAATCAGGATTTGTTCAGGAGGAAAGTGGGTTCGGTCCAGGAGGGGGTGACAAGGGAGGCCAGGGTACACCACTCTCCTAGCAGGCGCAGTCGAGCGCCCCTTGTGGCAACAGGCGACAATGCTGCATGGTTAGCCTCTGGGAAGGTTTGAGCTCACGCCAGAGTTCGGGTGTGGTGGACCCCACTGCCAATGGCTGGGTAGCGCCAACACGCCCCTTGTGGCAACAGGTGACAGTGGTGCATGGTTAGCCTGGGGCTTAGCTCAGGCCTGAGTTCGGGTGTTGTGGACCCCACTGCCGGCGACTGGGTAGCGTCGACCCTGGTCGAGACTTTCCTGTAGGTAGTCGAGGTTGAGTCATGCGCTTGAGAGATACCAGTGTGAGCGTGCGAGTCCACCCCAATAGTCAGGGACGAGACTGTGCAGAACCTTTATGGACTGAGCTGGTCCATCTTCTGAGGCCGAACAGAAAAAGTGACGCTGGTGGTTGGCGGTCCGTTTTGGGCCTACTGAATTCCCCTAGTCGCCTTTATGTCCACGTAACGGTCGTCTGTGCTCCTTGCCATATTGCGCATCCTTCTTCGCTGCCTAAAACGTCATTATGTCATGCATTTCCATCCTACAGTAGACAGCTTTGGCAGCCATAGTAGCTCATCATGAGGGCGGAATAAAGACAATTTTTTGGGTCATCGTAGCGGCAGTACGGTTGGACCTGATCTATCATTTACCCTATTGCTATCATTCTACATTGTGTTTTGCAAGGAACATGAGTATGGACGAAGCACAAAAATCCAGAATGCAAAATCACACTGAAGTCCAAGTAGTCAAAGCCAGAGCAGATAGCACAATGGAACCGAGTAACCATCCAATTGAGAATGATACAGAAGAATCGTGAGTCAATATCCATGCCCAACAGGGCAACACCAACAGCATAACCCAATGTAGCTCTCTCTTATGAATGGCGTCAGACGCCCTATCTACTCTACAGACTAAGCCTACAACTACAGCAATGAAAGCAACCAGACAACTTGACTACCAGTGAGTGATGATGTCAACACCAATGCCGACCTCCACCTCCACCAGGTACGTGTCCTCTTCACCCACACTCTCCCTTGTACCCACACAGCGCCCTTCACCTCCGAAGAACCACCTTCGCCCTTCACCTCCACTGCACCCTCATGCGRCCCGGCTATGGCCGCCAGTGCCCTGTGTGCAGGCAGCGCCCTACCGCCTAGCGCTAGCCTGCTTCGCCTCAGCGCAGCGCAGCTCTGCACAGCGCAGCACACATGCATTAGCGCAGCGTGCCCGCAATGCCTGCATTGGCCAAGATCCCTGCCCACTCGCTCTGCTTGCCTATATGCCAGTGCTGCGTGTGGGCGGCCTCCCTTCAGCCTACGTCTGGGCCCCAGTGGCTGAACCCAGCCCGATACAATTGAGGACCGGGGCAATGCAGTTGCGCCTCTTTCATCAAGGCATGCGGCCAGATTCAGATAGTGGCCGATTTCCCTTTGGCATTTTCGGCCTCTCTACCCAGCATGCATTGTCAGCCTCACGTTCAAGTGCCCAGGGCCTAACTAACTTAGAGGCCCTGGGATTTCTACATTTGCGGAAATCTGAGACTCGGTGCACTCCAACCAACTGGCGTGCTTCAACTGTATGGACCCCACTTCGGGAAATGTTTGTACAGAGGGCTCTTGTTGATTTGCTGGCCCGCCTTCACTTAGGGCGGGCACGAGGCTTGCTGGGGCCTTAGCCCAGAACATGTACATCATGGCAAGGCCCCTACTTGAGGGCTCAATCCTCACATTCCATCCCCCTTAGCTTCGAAAGTCCGCTGAGATGCTTACTTCGCAGGTGCCTTCCCTTTCAGTAGCCTCTCATATTCTGCCACCAACTGAGGAGCTGTCTCAATCAGTTCCTCCCTGGTAAACCACCGATCTTCTTTTGGATCCGTATGATGCTTGAATCTGACGTGGTACTCTCTCTTGGGTTTAGGAGGTCTTCCTCAACCCAACGGCTTCGGAACAGGCATATCCCTGTGATCCACAATGTCGTCGATGTCCACTTGTCCATCCATGGCTAGGGGCAGCATCGATCTCGTGGAAGGGAATTGATCCGTCTCAGCAAAAGGTGCAAGCTTTGAGGCATGAGAGACTGGGTGAGTGCGTAGGTGTCCAGGGACACGAATGACATATGTGGGACCATCCATCTCATCTCCCACTATATCCAGGACTTCCCAGGGACCAAAGTACTGAGGCATTAGTTTGAGATTCCGAACTCCTATCCTAACTCACTAGCCTTGACCCAGACTCGTTCCCCTACCTGAAATGTGGACTGTCTACGATGTTGATTCTCAGAAGCAATCATTGCTTGCTGAGCTTTCTTCATATGCTCGACAACCTCTTGCAACAACTTCTCATACTGCACACCATACTCTAGTGTGCCTGGAGTTGCAGCGGGTCGGTTTTCAGGTAGAAGGAAGTCTAGTGCTGATCTAGGCTTACATCCCAAGTGCAGCTGATTAGGACTAACGCCGGTACTGCTATGGATAACATTGTTGTACAGGCTGGCGATGAGAGGCAATTGCTCATCCCAATCATATTGGCTGGGCTTGATGTAATGCCTCAGCAAGTGCTGTACAACTCTGTTCATTTGTTCGGCTTGTGCGTTGGCTTCGGGATGATTCCCTGAAGTCATTTGAAGTTAACTGCCCATCTGTTCTGCAGTCTTCTTCCACAGCTCACTTGTGAATCGGACATCTCGGTCACTAACGATTGAATTTGGTAAACCAAAGTCACGCACCCAGTTGTCTTTGAACAACTTGATGACGTAGTCAGTTCTTGTGGTCTCTGGCATAGCCACTAGTCTAGCGTACTTGGTGAATCGGTCGATGATGACGAAGATGTGCCTCTTGCCACTCTTACTAGTCACTAGGGTGTCCATGAAATCCATGGAGACACTCTGTCCTGGACCAGCAGGGATAGGCAAAGGCTTCAACAACCCAAGCGGTGCTTGAGTTAGCGGCTTGTCCTGCTGACAGACCTGACAGGTCTCTACGTACTTCTTCGCGTCATCAAACATACCAGGCCACCAAAATCGTTGTACTAAGTTAGCACTCGTCTTCTTGTAGCCAAAGTGCCCGGTTGCGTCATGACATTCGCCTAAAAATAAACTACGCAACTGTTCACTAGATGGAACTACTAACCTTTTTATTCCTGTCTTATCAAGATAGAGTAACCCGTCCACCATCACAAACTCACTTTCCGTGGCCTTGTCTTTTGCCTGAAGTTTGCCCATGATGTCCATCGTGACAGGGTCTTCCTGATAGGCTCCCACCAATGATTGAGTTACTTCGTCAGATACGCCAAAGTCAGAAATTAACGCACCTAGGTAGTTTGCTCTACGGGATAGCGCATCCGCAACCTTGTTGTACTCTCCCTTTAAGTACTCAAGCTTGAAGTCATATTGGTCTATGACCTCAATCCATCGCTTGAGTGCGTCAGAAAGAGCCGGTTGAGTCTTGATCCATTTGAGGGTCTGATGATCAGTCCTCAAGTAGAAGAACCTTCCCAATAGGAAGTGTCTCCAATGGACAAGTGCTTTATACAGAGCATAGAGTTCCCTTTCGTAGGCGGATTTTGCCAACTTCTTTGATGGCATCTTCTTACTCATGTACTCAATCGGTCTCAATTTTTTCCCATCCTGTTGAGCCAGCACTGCGCCAATGCCGTATTGGCTTGCGTCAGTGGTCACTATGAATGACTTCTGAGGATCGGGAACCATGAGGACCTCATGATTCATGAGTGCATGCTTCAATCTCTTGAAAGCACCCTCGCACTCATCACTCCAGTTCCACAGTGTGTCAAGTCGAGTTAGATCAGTCAAAGGAGAGGTGACTGTAGAATAGTTCTTTACGAAGTTTCTATAGTAGCCGCACATTCCTAAGAATGATCTGACCTCAGTGACTGTCTGAGGTCATGGCCAGTCTCGACTACTAGCCACCTTCGCATCTTCCGGCCTTATCCCCTCCGCAGATACTTCATGACCCAAGTATAGTATCTTAGTGCGGCCAAACTCGCACTTCTCTAAGTTGACCTTATACTTGTGCTGTCGCAGGAGTGAGAGTACCTTCTCAACATGTTGTGCGTGCTCCTCGGCAGACTTACTAAAGATCAGAATGTTGTCTAAATAGACCACGACAAACTTATCTAAATGGTCATGGAAGATCCGATTCATAGCGTGCTGGAATGTACTCGGCACATTGCAAAGACCAAAGGGCATCACTACAAACTCATACAGACCGTATCTGGTCTGAAAGGCTGTCTTGTGTTGGTCCTCAGGTCTTATTGCGATCTGATGATATCCGGATTTCAAGTCTATCTTACTATAGTACTTGCATCCCTGCACCTTATCCAATAGGTCGTCTATGCGAGGTAGAGGCTCTGCGTTCTTCACTGTGATGACATTGAGGCCTCTATAGTCAATGCACATCCTCAAAGTACCCCCCTTCTTCGGTACGAATAGAATGGGTGATCCGTAAGGGGAAGTACTAGGCCGGATCCATCCCTTCTTTGTCAGCTCCTTAAGCTGTCGCCGAAGTTCATCTAACTCGGCGGGGGCCATCCTATAGATCCTTCTCTTTGGGGTCTTACTCCCTGGAATGATTTCTATAGCGTGGACGACTTCCCTTTCAACAACTTTTGTGGGCTCCTCGAACAGATCAGGGAACTTAGCAATGACGCGTTTTATCTCTGGGGGTGTTTTAACGGCCTCCCCTTTCTCAGAGACATACACAAGGTACATACCCTCCTCTTCGTTTTGCTTGTAATAATTGTAGAACGCTGATGCGCACAAACAGCCATAGGTATCTATAATGCTACTGGCCTTGAACTTAGTCAATCTGACAGTTCGGCCATCGGGCAACTTATGCTTGAGCACCTTCTTATCCCAGTCAAACTGGGGCTTAGCAACTTCGAGGTAGTACATGCCTAATAACATGTCGAATGGTAAGTCGTCGCTAACCAAGAATGAGATCTTATGGTTAAGTTCGCCTCCTCCATAGGAGAAGGTACAGACTACGTCCTTGGTATAGTCTGTCACTATCATGCGCTCCTTGTTGGCCAAAGTAGATGCTACAGGTCTACTAAGGTGCCGTACCCGATCCTGTAGGTGCAGCCTTTCCAAACAGTCGCGACTTATGTAATTCCGCGTGGAGCCTATGTCTATGAAGGCACCACATTTGCGGCCTCCTACATCCACTTCCACTACGAAATGTTCCCCTCTAGGACCTTTCTTCAGTGCCACCCAAGACTCGCGAGGGTCCTTGTTTGACCACTCACCTTCTAAGTCTTCTAAGGCCTCAGGCACATCTAACGTACAGAGCATAGTTTGGTCTAGTTGTGTCTGCGGGGTGGCTAAGGAGCCATTAGCTTCGGCCTTGTCATGAAGTGGGGAGGGTATCAAGCCCACGTCATCTTGAGTAGAAGCCGCTAAAACTTCCACTGGCCTCACGCGTTTCCCGAGCTAGAAGCCTGGGAATAGGATGCCCCCATCTTTGGAGGTATCTTTTGCGTAACCTTTGCGTTCTGGCACTTGTATTGCGAGTGTCCGTATTCCCCGCAATTGATACAAGCGCCACGCACTCGGCGGTCACGCCACACGTCTTGGTCAAGACCTACCTTCACCCATTCAGCCTGCTTGGTCTGATTGGGGCCGGCCTTTCCTTGACTCCTAGGTTGGCCCTTCCCTCGGCCACCTGCCTTAGTCTTGACTACCACGGCGAGGGTGCTACCCTCAGCTACCTCCTCGCCGTCAAACTGTGTATAGTCCATCAGGTCAGTGAGCTCGTCGATCTCCGTTTGAGTCCCATCGGACTCAACCATCATCAACTTAGCCTCCTTCTTCTTCCACTCCTGAGGACTCTTCTTCTTCCTCGTGTCAATCTGAGAGGTTGGTTGAGCATTGCCTAGCGTGGCCTCCAAATCTAAGGCTTTCCTAGACAGTGTCTCAAACGAATGGTACTCAGTGCGTGCCTCGCTGGCCAGTAAGTTCCTGATGTTCTCTGGTAAACATCTAACAAACGTAGTAAATAGGAACTGGTCACTGTAGTTGATGCCTGGGACGAGGATCAGGCTCTCAACGGTAGTCGTAAGCTCTCTGACCGACTTGAACTTTCGTTGGTCCATCTTGTTAATCGCGTCAGTGGCTCTTTGTGCCTCCTGTGGATTATGCCATCGAGCTTCTACCATTTCCATGAACTGGTCTAACGTCAGAGACTTAGCCCAGTCCGCCATGCGTCGCCCATACCCGGCCTTTACCACTACCCCATCTAGCCACTTGGCTGCCTTACCCTCGAGGTAAGATGCAGCGGTTACCACTTCATCCTTAGGCAAGGTCCTCTTTGCCTTCACCCAAACCGGGACGGTCCTCAACCATGTGTTGAGTTCTTCGTCCTTTCTCTCGCCTGAGAAGGCAAGAGGCGGTTTCATTGGGGTATTAGGATACCATTGACCCTACAACTGTCCCTGTTGAGGAACAGGTTGTTGTGGTGATGTAGCTCCCACCATTGGACCCGAAGAAGAAGACGCAACAGTCTGTGCAACTGCTGCAGACGTACCACTTGGCTGTGTACCAGCTTGAACTGGAAAGGGGCTTGACATCGTCGATAACGGCAATGGCGATTGTGTTGGTGGCCTGAATCCTGGCCTTGTCAATACATCCAGGATCTGGTCTAGAGTGCTCTGCATGAAGTCTAATCTGATGTTCATGTGCGCATGCAGGGACAACATATTCTTCTTCAGTACTTTCATTTGGTCAGTCAATGCTGACTCGTCCAAGCCCTCTAACTCAGCCTTATCAGCCTCTAAAGTATCAAGCCTGGCTGCTCTATTTTTCATCTCTCTTTCCCTATCGGTTGCCTTTTTCAGATCCTCCTCTAACTTCTGCCGGAGTCTCTCGACCTGTTGGATCTCTCTGAGCTCCCTCTCACGTGGGGTCAACGGGCTGAACTGCGAGCCCGCCATTTGACTAGTAGACTGTCGAGAACCCCTTGAACTGGAAGTGCCCGTGAAACTTGTTGGCATTCCCAACTGAATCCCATTTGTCCCAAACAAAGCCGCAGAGGATGTTGCTGAGCTAGTCATGGCTGCTGCCCTAGCTGTTGCGACAACCTGTTCCCTAGCTGCGGCGTTTAGTGTGGCCCTAGCTGCTGCTAGTGCACGGGCTCTACATTCGGCTATAAGTCGTCTTTCTTCTCCCGGTTGTAGGGCCTGGAACACGTGTGGTACCCTTAGTGCCTTTGCACGTGTTAGTCTCCTATTGTCAGCTCTATCATCAACAGGGTCTGACCCACTCATTAGTTAGGTAGATAGTGTCTGCACTAGAATACCCTAGTGGAATCCTACCACAACATGTATCTGACCGGCACCTAATTTTCTAACAATAGTTGTGTCCGACAAGTCCCCTATTGTACCGATCAAGTGGCATGACTACAACATTCACACAGACTGTCTACATAGCCTAGATGTACTCTGATTGGTTCACTTACAGCAGCATTAGACAGAACTGGCTATGGTAGCATACAACAGTCCTAATCTAATCTGTCTGTGAGGTTAGCAGTCCGTCCACCAACTAATCAAAAGTACAAAAAGACAATGTAGCAGATGTATGATGAGTGGGTATGGTTGTTTATTCAGTTGAGCACCAATTAGAACCTACCCTACCCTCAATCCAACATACCGAAC